AAAGTATGGTCTATAATGCAATCAATTGTTTTTTCTAAAATCAAATTTGAAAATAAGATGCGGAAAGCGCCCATATAGAAAAGTTTTATGTAGATATTCTTTGAATCGCTCAAATTTGAGATCTCAAAGTAGATGATATCCTTAAAGTTTTAAGTAGACTTGTTACTACATCGATGAGGAGACGATCCTTTACCATATATTTATTCCTTTTTTCTCTTAAATTTTTGAAAATTCTATTTTAGTTTTTAAACTTTATACCATAAATGATTTTAGTCATTTTCCATAGATTTTTTTGAATTATTTAATAAAAACCTAATAAATTAGAAAAAAATATTTTGTTCATTTTCCAATCAGTATAAACAAAATTTAAAGTGGCACCTAAGAAAATCATAGAGTTGTATTTGAGATGTCCTCAAAATTATATCAATTTTTTATTTTTAAGAAAATGTTGATTTGGGATAAATGGTAATTTCATTAACAATCATGATCACACAACAAGTTAGAGAGTTCAAATGATGCAGAAAGTCAACTCAATTATTGACCAAAATTTCAAATTTTAAATTCTAAGTTTGGTGTAAAAATATAATAGTTTGAAGGTACAAATCCTAGTTCCTAGGTCATTGTTCGAATTCTTTATCATTTTTTATTTTTCAAAAGAAAAAAAAAGTTATATATGCAAAAGCAAACTAATAAAATAAGATAAGTTTTTTCTTTTAAACCATCAAATATATTTTTCCAAACAATTGAATTAAATATATAATTTCATCAATAATATCCATGCCACTTTTAAAATTTCATCTCCTATTATCTCATTAAATTAAATGTACAAATTGATAGTTTGAAAATAAAATACATTTTATTAACTGAATTGAAACTACCTCGTGATTTAATTTTTTGTTACCTATAAAGTAAAAAAAAGTTTACCCCACTTTACATGTATTCTTGGTTGAAAATAATTAATACATAAAAGAATGAAATCAAAATATTCAAAAGGGTCATAAACAAAATGGAATATAAAAAATACATCTAAATTTATAATTTAACCATTTTTAATTGAGTAAGCGGTTAATATATATATATATATATATATATATTAGCTTTGGTTTTTTCTAGTTCATATATTTTCAAAACATCTATTTTGGTTCTTGTATATTTTGAAAACGTCCATTTTGATCCATGTATTTTTAAAAAGTGACTATATTAATTCCTTCATCTTCATTTATCTCATTTCTTTCGATRAAAATTATGTAACTCACTAAATTTCTTGAGATTTAGCCACCAAAATTTTTAAAGTATATTGATTAAAATAAATAAAAGTTGAAAATGCATTTATCAAAAAGAGTATTTTAATCTATATTAAAAATATTTTTTTTAAGAAACTATTTGGTCTGAAAAGGTGAAACGGTTGTTTTTTGAAAGCATGAAACAGTTTTTTTACAAGTTAGCGAAAAAAGAGGAAAGACAACAATAACAAAAAGTCCGCATGTTACCTTTTTTTTCCCCCTCTCTCTCTCTCAAAAAGTGGTGCATTTAATTTGTATGTAGACAATAGCTCTACAAAATAAATTAAAAATAATAATAATAATAAAGTTGGAAGTGGAAGGTAACTTTCGAAAATCAACTCCACTTTTTTTACTTTTTTACTACTTTATTTCTACGCAGTTCCAGTCGTCTTGTTTTTGAATTCCCATTTTATTTTACCAACAGTTTCTACGCCCTTCCTTTCCCGTTACTTTTCCCTGCCTTTTCAACGTCCTTCACTTTCATTTTGTTTTTCTTTTTTCGTTATAAATTATAAATTTGTTGAAAAAAAATCATATTGATGCAGGATTCTGCACAAGGTGACACATTAATACTTGAGTCGAGGTGGACTCTAGACCTGCTTAGTGTTGTGGGCATGCTTGTCCAGGGTGTGTTACCCATGACCGCATGTCCAAACCATCCTCACCACTCGCTTTCCTTTCATGTCTTTAAAGCTTTCTAGTGTAATTTTCTTGTATCGGGTTTTTGGGGTTGTAGGTGGAAGTTGGCCGAGCGGCTTTGGAACTAGGTGTGTATTAGTAAGATATGTAAGCACGCCAAATTTCAAGCCAATCGGAGTTCACACGGGCCCTGTAGGCTACCGAGTGACTCCTCGCCACTTAGGACGTCTACACCTGCCACACCAAAAATGTCTTATAATGTACCTTAGGGGGGACCAAGTAGTCATCAAACCTCCCCCCGACCAAGTGTTGTATACTTTCTTGCAATCAAAGCTTTCTTGCATCCAATGTCTACAATGCTTGTTTTAAAGATGTTTTCAACTGTTTTTCTCTCTCACGTTTTCTAAAACCAATTTTCTCCTAAAACGTGAGCGGAGGCTAGACCCACGACCGAGATTGTCCGCAACTTACAGTTTTTCCCGGCTGACTTGCTCGTTTGAGCTAGAGCAAGTGCCGCACAATCGCTCGAGCTGCTTTGAAAAGGTGCGATTGTGACACTTAGCTGGCGACGTGCAATAGAACTTTATGTTGGTGTGATGCTCGTGTTGGAATTAATTAAATTAATTGATTAAATGAGTAATAATTTATGATAAATTATATGTACTACTATTCATGAGTAAAATAAGTTGTCTAATCATGGCCCTATGTAGTGTGGTCCGCTGGGCAAATACCAGCATGTTGATTCTAGGGGATTATGGAAAACTATAGAATTAACTTATAAATATACGATTATGGTCCCCAATATACTATGCTCCTTTAGTATCTTATTTCTCATCTTTGATCTAGGGCTGCATAATAGAGGAAGACCCAAACCACCTAGATATTGCTACAGGAATTTGGAATCTCAACTCATTCCAACTCATGAATTTAGGTAATTTGAAATAACTTATAGTTCTTTGGCCTACTACTCTCATGCATAGATCCTATATTAAAGTTTTTGTTTTCTAAGACCACGTAGATTTTGAACTCTAAGTTAATACTTAATCCAAGATAGTATTGAGCCAACTAAGTACGTAGAGACCGTGTACCTTTTCAAAGTAGGACATTTTGCTTATTATAAGGGAAGTAATGGAAAACCGTGCTTTGTGATTGCGGTGTCTGTATCTGTCCTTTTGTGGATCTTCTGTCGGCCATGAGAAGATCATCTACCAACATAATTGAAATTCTGTCAGTTATCAGTAGATCCTCTATCGATAAACTCTTTCTCTTCAGTTGGTGCCAAGCTAGACTTCGCCTTAGGCATATTTGTCATGTTGCTCATCGTCCTGAACGTGAAGCTTGGACACTTGTTTCAAGGCAAAAAGGTCACTTATACACTTCCCCTCACCGAATCGATTACATTTTTAAAGCCATGAAAAACATACCAAAGTAATTACGAGGGAGCTAGCTTAACTAATACAAACAAAGACTAATTTTTAAGAATGACTTTTTTAATTTACAAGATTTACCTTAACAAAGTAACACATATGAGCCAGTAATATTTATTAACTTAATTTATTTAAAAATAAAAAACAAAAAACAAAATAGTTATGAAATCAACGCACTAAATTTTGATTTTGATTTCAATAAGTCTCTTTTGTTTACATTATTTACTTAAATGTTGATGTGATATACTGATTACACTAAATAAGCGATTATTTTGATTTTTGCATTCTCATGGAGGACACTAACTAAACTAGATTTTAACTATGGTGATGAAAAAAAAAATTGATGAAAAAAAATTGATGGGTCTATTGGGTCGAATCATTTTAAAACAAATTTTGTGTTGGCCAGCACATATATACCGTCGGTTTAATAAGATGACCTAACCTATGGTCAGATCAAGTTAAATTATTCATCTTTTTAGTTCCACAAATATATCTGGTCAACCATATTAAATAACAAGTTAGTGATATAAGTTAATGTAACTTTAAACACATAAATGATAAATATATATTAAGGTGTAGGTACATAACTTGGTAAAATTTAGAACCTTTTAAATTGTCTATCAACTTTAGAAATAAAAAAGAATATGTAAATATATAGTAGAGTAATTTTTAGAGGGGAGGGAATTAAAGTAGTCATTTTTTCCAATATTAAAGCTGAATTTAGTATAGAATAAAAAAAAAAGGAAAAAAATTTAAAAAGCTGAATGTAGTACCCAGAGAAATTGCCTTATAAAACATTACCATACTTGTCTTGAAGGGTGTCTTCTTCCTTCATATAAATTAAGATAACATATTTATTATATTTATAATTATAAATAAAATTTTCATTTTCTCAAAACAAAAAAAAAATAATAATAAATTTTCCAATTTTAATCATCCTTTTTTTTTTTGCAAGATTTGTCTCCATCCTTCCCAAATTCTGAGACCAAACCCAACAAATCTTCTTCCCTCCTCAACCAAACAAAACCAAAATCCAATCAAATCCTCAAAAACATATAAATTAATAAAATTTCTTCAAGTGATAATTCGTTTCAAGTTAAATTATAAGTTGGACTTGAAATGTTTAATGTTGTGTCCGATTAACATCTAAACTTCAAAATATGTTTATAACAAATTTCTAATGCTTCAAATTTGTACTTCATAAGTCTTGAGATTTTTTATTTTGTGCTTTATAAATTCACGTCTTATGAAATAACAGACCCAAAATAAAATATTTAAGAAGTTATCCGTAAAATTTATGAAGTTATTATACACAAGACGCCAGTTAGACATTTAAAGTATGTTTTTTTAATTAAAAAATTCAAACACTTGACAACTATTTAAATGTTTTTTGTTTTATTTATAAACAGTTTATTTATTTTTTTATTTCTAGTTCTTAGTTTATTGTTCTATCGTAGGTATGCAACCCTATTATTCTTTATTTCAATGAAGAAACTGGAAATTTACTAAATGGGTCTTTTAAAAGTTAATTAAAGTCTTCGCCGCTATGATGAATCTTATAATTTCTAGGTGCAATAAAAACAGTAACACCACTCCAACTAAAATACCACAAAATCTAGCTAAGGTCGATCGAATTTACAACAGTATGAGCTAAGGGAAAAAAAATCTAAAATTTTTATTTGAATATTTTTGCAATTAGAGAGAAGTAATTGTACAGAGAAAGCAGTTGAAGAGGGGATGAATTTGATTTTCAGAGTGGAGTTTGGGTAAGATCAAACCAGATCTGCTTGAAAACTTTGATTATAAGATCGTGATATTCATCGGCGTTCAAGCAGAGATAACATGCAAGAAGATCTTCCAAATCCTTCGATCCTCTGATGTTGTTCTCCACGATCATCTCCACCATTGATTCTCTGAAGTCCTTTTGTGGGTCGTACGATGATTTCATGATCGCCAGGCTGTCCGACAGGCTCCGCCGCGACGACACGCTCTTCCGCCGCCCGATTCTCGGCGAGTGCACCCGGAGCCGGACGCCGCCGCCCGAATTCGTCGGGAATTTCCTCGTCGGACTCGTCGCCGTCGTCCTCTGTTTTGGTTCTTTTTTCTTCTGCGGCTTTGTGATGATCGGCGGCAGGTCGAGCTCCGGCGGGGAGTCATCCACGGCGGCGGCGGCATTGTCGGAGTACTTTGTCGAGACGTCGATTACGATGTCGCGGTCGAAGGTGACGTGGATTTTGTCGGGTTCCGGGGAGGTTTCGGAGGCTGACGTGGAGAATTCCGGCTGGGAGTCGGATTTGGTCCAGATGGATTCCGTCGTGGTGCGGCAGCTGCAGCCCACGGAGGAGGAGCTGAGTAATTTCGCCGCCGTCGACGGCCGGGAACTCGTTTGCCTTTTTCTCTGTTTCTGCTGCTTTGATGACGTTCTCGGCGGCGGCGGCGGCCGCGGAGGGGAATCAATGTAGAACCCATCGTTGGATTCGAGTTCTCTAGTGAAATGGTAAGACTTCCTCGAACGAGACTGCGGCGGCGGCGGTTGTTGCTTCTGTTTGGACAGCGGCGGTGGCGGTGGCTGCCGGTGCTTTTTTTTGGAATCAAAAGGTGATTGGATAATCGGCAATTTTCCTCTGCCGCCGCCGCCCATCTCCCGGAGCTTGTAAAACCAGGCGTTGGGAATCATGTCCGATAACCGGAACTTATGATTTCCCATCGGAAAATTTTCTCCCTCTAAAAATCAAGCCAATTTCTCTCTCCAAAACCTCCAATTTCTCTCTGTTTCAGACACGGCGGTGGGGGAGAGATAAAAAGGAGGAGAAATTCCTCAATTTTAGAATTGTTTGGAGGGAGGCGGTGGGGCCCACCGGCGAAGAAAAAGTGGGGATAAAGGCAAAAGGGTGGGGCCCACGTGGTGATTTTTATTTTTATTTTTTTCATTTTTGTTATTTTGTTTTAATGATAAAATGGGAAGGGAAAAGAAAGAAAGGGAAAAGAAAGTAATAAAATTTGATTTGATTTTAATTAATGACTCGCTGTAAAATAAGAGTGCTGCGGCTGGCGATGAAATTGAAATATATTTCGTGGTACGGTTTATTATATAATCAGCGACTTCCATTTTTGTTTTTAAATTTTTCTTTGAAACACCTTCTACGTGGCTCACATGCCATATAGGCCCCAAATTGCAAGAAAAAATTTGAGAAGAATTGGTAAAAACTAAAACGATGAAACTATTATTTTCTTTTAGTATAATAAATATGGGATAAATTTCAATTTTTATCCTTAAATCAACCAGTAGATATCATTAACTGTAGAGTTTATATCGATTAAATTCAACTATTGATTTGTCTCTATTCGTTTTTTAGTATAATAGGGAGTGAAGATTTAAACTTACAATTTTTAGATCTAAAGAATCTGTCCTTGACTAATTGAGCTATAGTATTTGGGTAATTATTTTATTTTATTTTTTGAATCAGAGTAATTATTCTTAAATTTATGAAATTGTTATAATCAAATTATACTCATGTAATTGCGAACAATATAAAAAAGAACCCTACAAGACTTATATCGAGAGAATTTAAATAAATTTGAATGATGTTATGGGAAGATCCAATCTAATTCCAACAAAGGTACAAGAGATTCAAAATAGGCTCGAGGTGGAAATGTTGGGATGTAAAGCCCAACAGATGAATAGAGGCCCGACACATAAAGGACGGGCGACCCAAGGTGTCCAAACCTAAAGGGCTAGGTTTCAGATTCAACCTTTATAAATAAAAGGATATGCTGAGCTCTAAATTACTCTGGTAAGTTGTCAACTTCCGATTCTAACTTAAGTATCGGACCTTGTGTGGCTAGTACCACACCAATATTCAGATTTATTTATTTTGTAAATCGACATCACATCTCTGTTTATTAATTAAGATTGGTGCAAGTGAGATCTTGAAGGCCAAATTTCTGCATCGAGATTATAACCATTTATTTAATTTAGTGGTTTTTTTCCTTTGCATTTTTCCTTAAAAAAATAATATTGGTCTTGATAATTAAAATTTCATTATATACATCTTTTCTTTTCTTTTTGGAAAAAATAGTGATGTTGAGTGGTCACTTATTTTGTCTAAAATCAAAATTGAGAATTTATTATAAACAATTATAATGAACTTTATTTTTATCACATGATATATTTATTATCTTTTGGGATAGCTTTGAAATTCTTATAATATTAACATTTCATTTTTTGTTTTTTTTTGGAAGATACTCTTGGAAATAACTTTAGCCTTAATTGACCAATACTTGAATTGGACATGAATTTGGAAAGTTTCCAAAATTGTTGAAATTTTATTGTTGCTTATAATTATAACTTTGATTGGCATTGACTGCTTCAACAATTAGAAAATTTTACAGGCTTCATTTTTGTATTTCTTACCATTTTGGATTCAAGCAATCCAATCCAAGCATCATGCTTTGTTTCCCTCACTTCTCTCTCTAATGCATCAATTTGTTCTTATTGAAAGAGTTTGAGAAGTTTCTTCTTTGTACAAGTATATATGTTAGGTTGGTATTACATCATAAATGAGGACGTAATTCAAACCTGCTATCCATAATAGAGGGGTACATAAGAGATCTAATCGTTTAAGCTATATTCAAATTAGTTGCAAAAGATATATTGAATTTGTAAGGAGAATGCAGACAAAGTCACATATTGGCTAAGGAAAGAAGTGATTCAATAGACGACAATTATCTCCATTGGTTTGAGACCTTTTAGGTGAAACAAAAAGCAAGTACCGTTGTCTTTAACAAAGTATATACCCTTATATATTCTTGAATGTTGATGATTATTTGAAAGAAAATCGACATTAAACTAATGATCGAATGAATGATAAGAGTTGCTTGAAAGGATTTATCTACCAAGGGAATTCGTATAGATTTCAAAAAATTAAGTCAAAATTAAGAACTAGGTTCATTTGGATGAACGAGCTTTTTTAGTCTCAAAACTCAAAATAATAGAATGAATGTATCTCACGAGGGGACCTCTCTATACATTGAAAAATCGTTTACTTGCATGATATGGTCCCCTAGCCATAGCCACATATCTGTTGTACTCAATATGCGTAATTTATGTTGGATTTGATCTTTTTGAAAGTTACTAGACCTAGCGAAAAAGAACTTTTAGGGTCCGTTTGGTAGCGTTCCCGTTTCTTGTTCTCGTTTCCAAATTTTATTAAGAAACTTAAGCATTTTGCAACTAAACATGTTTCTTGTTTCTCATTTTTTTGGAAACATCCTCAAAATTGTATTGAAATTTTGGAAACAATCAAAACAAGTTTATTGTACTCGTTCCATTTCCAATTTATTGCAATATATAAATATAAATATTATTTGATCATCATTGAATTCATAGGTATTGGACTATACAATTATATTTTTCTTTATTAAAAATGAAGAAACGTAAACAAAAAACAGAAACGTTACCAAACGGGCCCTTAACATTTGCGCAAGAAAGCAAAGTCGAAGTTCTATAGGTAGCTGTCATATAAATAGTAGCTTCCCTGTCCTACTTTGAATCAAAAGAAAGGCGATATTCTTTGATTACTTAACTTTATATGTTTTGTTTTCCTACGGCAATAATCTTACAATACTCAAAACTATATTCATGATTAAAAATAGGTTGACAGATCACAACTTCACGGAATATAGAAGATAAATTATTGAAGAGGGACGTTTGACCAGCATCAAATCTCCATCCAAAGTTAGACATTTGATCTTATAAGCTCCAATTTGAGTACTAAAAAGAGTAAGAAGTTATTGCTCACTCCTCCATTATTATAAGAAATTGAACTTTATGCTAAATTTTGATATTATATTTGCTCTATTAATTTCTTTTTCTTCCATGTGGTTGAATAACCCTTTATTTTACCAAAACTAAACAAAATTTGAGTGACCCATCATAAAATATGGGAAAATCAAACTCAAATAATATGATTTTATATTTTTGGTTGGGTTTTGATCAAGTCCTCCACTTTCTCTTCAAAGGCTTTAATTTTCTTTCCTTTTCCCATCTATTTTCCCATCTCCCAAACAAGGATGTGTTTGTATCATAAATGTAAAACCAAAAGACAAAAGAATTGTGTTGCTCCTCTTAGTTTGTCCCCATTCCAAGTCCAGCCCATGCTTTGTATAATGCCTCAATGCCCAAACAAGCCAATGACAAGACACATCATCAATTTTAACCAATTTTTTTCAATTTTGTAATATCAAATCTTTTTAAATTGATGGATAAAGTTAGTACTTTCTCTAAATTAAGGTATTTGACAAGGAAAATTTAATTCTTTTAATTTGCTTTTTAATTCGATAAGTATAAATTCTAATATCATGTTTAGGCACTGTAGAACTTAGAACATAGTTTAATCGGTTAAAACATGAGTAATTTTGCCTCCATATTTATAAAATTATATTCTAAAGATAATGTAAGCCCATCCATTAGACCCAAAAACTTTAAAGCTTGAGCAAAGGTAAATTTAAGTGACCAAAAAAAAATTACTCCTAAACATGAGAAGTTGTATCAATTTTCACTATAAATTTTTAATTTCATCAAACTAGGTGAAATTAGACAACCGTTGCAATTTTACCATGTATTCAATGTCGTTAATTCTAACCAGTAATTTTAATAAAAAAAAATGTAAAGACTTCAAAAACTCATTAATTTTATAAAATTAAGCTTTGTACAAGATTAGATTTGATTCATGTACAAAGCTACCATTAAATAACTCCGCTAAAACTATAAATTTCAAGAAAAAGAACTCAATCTAATGTTGTTGTTTTTTTTCTTGATTATTGAATAATCCTACCAATTTCATACTAAAGATAGGTTTTGTATTACATTTTAACATACATGAGACTATTTTTTCAACAAAAATCTATTACAATGAAAAAATTGCAATACTTTCTAATGTTTAAGATGAAGATTGTAACATTTATCCAAACTTAATAGGTACAATTTGATGAAATTGAAAGTTTGGAATAAAAATTGATATTTTTTCTATATTTAACTTCCATTTGATAACAATTTTGTATTTGGCTTTTTATTTAAGTAATATTTATTTACTAATAATTTTTCATTGCCTTTTGGTATACTTAAAAAGAACAACGTTTTTCTTCAAAATTTGACCAAACTTTAAAAACAAATTAAAGAAAACAATTCAATAATAATATTATTATTTTTTAAAATTAGTCAAAATTTCAAAAGCATAATTGTTATATTATTAGTATATAATGTATAATACCTACAATTCATTCTTTAACATTAATTGATTCCAAGAATCCAATGAGATAGCACGTAATATAAACCAATTCAAATAAACCTGCAACTTACGTACAATAAGAGATGTAAAAGTAAGCTATGTGAATTGAATTTAAGATCTACAAATAAATAATTATAGAATAAGGTATTTAGATTGAATTGAAGATATACAAAATAGGGTACATGGTACACTCAAAAGGTAAAAGGTGAAAGAAAATGAAGAAAACACATGTGTGAATGTGGATAGTTTTTTGGCACAGGCAAGTTCAATTGGGTTTGGGGGAGACATTCCCTCTTACCCTTAAAACCCAAGCCACTTGCCCCACAATTTTCGGCACACATACCCCTTACAAACATTCTACGACCATTGGTCCCAGAGAGATAATTGTACGTTCTCTTCTTAAGAGGATCGTCTGTCACCTGTGTTGATGAATACATTATTTAGATTCGAGAATAGATATTCAAATTCCCGTGCTTGTTTGATAGTAGTGTAGGATGTTTACCTAACAATACCTAAACATCTCAAGATCCTCGAAACTAGAGCATTCAATACAATATGGGTTATCTTTATACCAAAATTTTCCTTCTTTGTTGTGTAATATATGGGATAAATTTTATTCATATCCACATCAATGTAAAATTATTAGGTGTATAAACACACAGCACTTGTATTGGCTGTTATTTTCCCAGCACATAAATGGTCCAAATGCTGCAAAAGTGTGATAGGCCCATCATTGTACAGCCAAATAGAAGACACTTTTTGATGTGTTTGGACCATGATGGGCTTTAAAAGTCGCCGAGGTCAAGTTATACTCAATATTTCACAAATGACTATCATGTCAATTTGTCTGTTTTGGACCTAGTTCTCCCGTCTTTCTTTTTTGTTTCACCAAAAAATCTCATAATTGTCCTTTCTTATATAACATGGATCACTCTTTTCTCTAATCAATGTTAGACTTTTTTTACAAACCCAACACAATAAAAGAATTTTTTTATGATCAGTTAAAATTTTTACAACATTAAAATTTTATGGATTATGTTATATATACATATTTTCTAACTCATCCATCGCTACGTATACAATATAAAATCCCCAAATTTGAACCAACTAATTAGAACAACCAAATTAGTATAAACAATGTATGATGTATAATCTATATGACTACACTTCGGTTTTAAAATTTCAAAACCCATCTAACAAACATGGATAAATTTCCAAGCCCAACTCTGGAGAAACAAACGAGCCCCTGAAGAGTATCGAAATTGTATATGTATTTTCTTAGGAAGAGAATTAATTGCAAACTTGAATAAGGTAAATTAAGGCATTATCGAATTCCAATTCTACGTGTTGAACTAAAAAAATGATTAAGTTGAACAAAAACTCAACTAATTAAGTATATATTTTTGACTTTGATCAGGGTTTGCAAGATAACATCAGAAGCGTCAATGCATCGTCGAATAGGTGGCAGCTGCTCTCTATGTACTCTGTCTCTTATACACATCTCTGCAAGATAACATCAGAAGCGTCAATGCATCGTCGAATAGGTGGCAGCTGCTCTCTATGTACTTGTAGTTGAGTAAGGACTCTTTCCAATTGATTCTGAGTAGCTTTATCGAGATCAGATGTAAACAAACAATTTGGTTAATATACATTTTACTCTTTAATGTCGGAGTGTTTTTTCAATTAATCTTTAGTATTTAAATGTTTCAATTTTGCCCCTTATATTTTCACAATTTTGAATTATACTGCTTTTTAGCTTGCTCCAACATAAAACTTACATAAATTTAGAAGAGGAGGGAGGCATGTCCAAAAAGAAAACTTCTTAGAAGTTGACAGAAAATTTTTATTTTTCTTCTCTTTTTTGTGAATTCACAAAATATCATCAACGATCACATCTAAACTTGTTAACATATAAAAAATACCCAAATATTAGTGACAAAAGTATTAGCCTTAATAATTTTAATAATATATACCACCTACAAAATTAATTAGAGCAATCCAAAATGAAAAGACGTTTTATCAATTGATGGAGATACAAAATCACATGAAGATTACAAAAATAAGAAATCATTAGCCAAGAATTTGATGTTTGAAACTTTCTATATGTTTTGAGATTCAACATACAATAACAATGTGCAAACAAAATATTGAAAACTCTATTTTCGGCTTTTTCTTTTTTCTTTTAATTTATTTTACAAACCATTTCCTTTCAAAAAAAAAAAATTAAACAAATGAAAATAACATTACATTTACAAACAAATGTGCAAGAATTTTGGAGAAAAACCTTCTCTTCTAGCTATGAACAGTTGCTCCTCTTGATGAACTTACAATGGACTCGCCGCCGATTCTCGACGAAGTAACGGTCATCGAATCTCCTCCGACG